GTGAGGTTGGCCCAGGATCAGGCAGTGTTTCGTTCTGTTGTGCATATGAGTCAGTACCGACTGGATGGCACCTGACAACAACATCCACCTATGAGGTGTGGTGGTGGTGTTCTTAAGTGCTGTCAAGTTGGTTCCAACTCTTATCAACCCTGTATAGGATTTCCAAGGAGCAGCTGATGGGTTTGAACTGCTCACCTTGAGGTAAGGAGTCCAATGCTTATCCTACAGCACCACACCAGTAGGTATGGCATCCCCATTTTTCAGAAGCAACCAAACGTCCTAGAGCTTAAGAGACTAGGCTTAGGTTATCCAGTTAGGAACTGGTGACAAGACAGAACCCCAGAACTCGAAAGGTCAGGCTAGGATACAATGCATAAGGGAACACTGGAACCAAGCCCCTAGGGTCCCTGGTTGGGGGCATTAGCTGCCTCCTGGTCAGTAGCTGCTTCTGTCTCCATAAAACCCCTTTCATGTACATCCGGAGCAATGTCTGGGCATGGGGAGCCTTGAGCTGGGTAAGAGGCAGTTAGAACTTTCTGGAGCACCTCCCCCCAGTAGGATGAGTTGAAGACCACCAGGGAGGTGTTAATGAAACAGGGAAGCTGCAAACAGACCCAGGAGCTATTCCAATCTGACACCTCCACCCAGCCCCCACTGGTAATGAGCCAGGACCTGCCCTTCTCCCCAGAGAGGTGGGTGAGGGGGGGAAGTCCTGGGGCATCTTTGTAGCTTCCAATGCGTCCTCTCTTTATTATCATTGCAATAAGCAGCTCCCGTTTATTGAGTGACCACTGTGTTGCAGGAACAGCGCTAAACCCTCTTTATACACCCCATCCTTCAATCCCCCCAACACCTTATGTGGTTGGTTCTGTTATCTTCAGTTTACAGAGGAAGAAACTGAGGCTCAGTCAGGTAAGTGGACCTGCCCTGCCCACCTCAGATGTCTGTGTTAATACTTTTGCTACTGTGCCTCCGGCAGGCATGGGATCACCAAGGTCCTCAGGAAGAAGGTGGGTGGGATGCAAATGTTCCCCAGTCTGTGTGTACCTGGGGTAACCCAACCCTTGGGGCACTGAGGGAAGAGCCTATGCATAGTTGACCCTGGGCTGGGGTGAATAGGACCTTTGGCCCACCACAAGTCCTAACCGTTCCAGAACTGGAGAGAAAGGAGCAGGACCCCAACCCCACCAAGCCTGGTCTCAGGAGATCCCCTGGCTGAGGATGGAGATGGATGGAGAGGGGTTTTGCCTGAGAAGACTAGAAGAAAAGGAGCCCTCCCACCCCCCAAGACCTTGGCCTCCCCAGCCCTAGAGGGTGGGGCTGAGCAGTTTGACAGTGGAATGCTGAGTCCCTTGTTTGTAAACAGCATTAATCAGGGATTAGCAGATGGGCATGCTAATTGCACCTGTGGAAGCCGGGGACCTCAAGGTTGATTACATTTACAAACTATGGGGCTCCCTGAGCCTGGCCCTGCAGGGGATGGGAGTGGGGATCTCAGCCTAAGGGGATGACATTTTAACCTCCCCAAAAAGATTCCAGCCAAGGCGGGAGAAGAGAAGGGTATGCTGGCCACAAATACTCTGATTAAAAATCAAATGTTAAAAGCCCTAACTTCACCAGAGCCCGGACTGGAATGGATCCTGCAGACGTCATTCCATCATCCTCCTTCCCAAACTGCCTGCGGCCGTTCTCAGGGGTAAATCAGTGTGTTGCAGCTAAAAGAAGCCTTCCAGTGGAGAAACTGAGGCCAGTCCCCTACCAGGCGTGGAGTTGAGAGTTTTGCGTGGATTATCTCATTTAATCCTTACCACAATCCTCTGAGGCGCATGTACTGTTGTTATCCCCATTTTATAGATGAGGAAAAGTAAAGCTTGGAGAAGGGACACGTCCACATTTACACTGCAGGCAAGGCACAGAAATCAAACCACGCCCTCGCTGAGCATTGAAGGTCCTGCTCTTTATCTTGACTGCCACTGTGGGCTCCTCTGGCTTCATCCCAGCTACTCCCTAGTCAGCCAATTCCCTACTTAGCTCTTATGTGATGTGTCCTTGTTCTTAAGACCTCAAGTCCTTTTTGTCTAGGGGATGCCCATACTTAGTGTGTGTGTGCATCTAATCTACTGCCCAATTCCCTCTGGTTCAAGTGAAGCCGTTTTCCCAGCTGTCCAATGGGTAAGACAGGGAGGTGCCCTCTTAGGGTGATGCCTAGTGCCTGACAGCTAGTCCAGGAGAATGACCTCCACGGATGGTCTAGACCACTGGGATCCAGCATGGTCAGCAGGAATGGAGTACTAGACCCCAAGTAGCCCCAACCCCAATTTCTAAATTCCATCCTGGGCTTGCCTCAGAAAGGAAATTGCATTGATCTTCATCAAGGTTTAAGCTATCAGGTGCTAATCCTGGGGGTGTACAGTCTTATCATTACTGACAGCCTCTCCTTTTGTTTTTCAGGCTTCCCTGGGGAGGAGGAGGTATTAATGGTGTCATCCCCATTGACAGATGAAAGACTGAAACAGCATCGGCTAGGAAGTCCTGGAGCCAGGACAGGAACCAGCATCTGTTGAAGAATCTATGAAGAATCTCAGAGGGTTGCCCTGGCCCACTTTTGGGCATGCACTCAAAAGCACCTATTTGTATGGACCTGGAAGCAGACCCTCAGACATGAGTGGGTGGCTGACAGAGCAGTGATTCTGGAACATGGCTGGACACTGGAGGGAGCTGGGGACCAGACCCCAAAGACTGAGTTCATTGGTCTTGGTGCCTCTGGGTACCACAGTCACTCCAAAGTCAAGGTACAGCCAAGGTTAAAAACCACTGTACTGGGCTCTTAGCCAACAGTGTTATAGGGATGGTGGAAACATCATGCTGCAGCTGGGGAACCAAGTACTCACAGGGACTAAACTGGACTTTACAAAGGGGTTCCTTCCTCTTCCTTGACTTTAAGGAGACCTTCTTCTTGTTTGGTAAACTGAAGCCTATATTCAACTCATATCTATCCCATGTGACACATGTGATACAGTAGAACTGCCCTGTAGGATTTTCTAGACTGTCATCCTGGTATGGTACTGTGGGATCAGGACCGGACTGTGAATCACAGGTCATTAGTTCAAACCCACCCGCTGCTTCTTGGAAACCCTATACAGGGTTGCTGTGAGTCAGAACTGATTGGACAGCACTTAACAACAACAACAATTTTACTGGAAGAGGCGCTAGTGGGTGGCACTGTAGAATAAGCACTGGACTGCTAACCACAAGGTTGGCAGTTGAAATCCACTAGCCACTCCTCGGGAGAAAGACGAGGCTATCTGTTCCTGCAAAGATTCACAGCCTTAGAAACCCTACTAGGGTCACTATGAGTCAGAAGCAACTCCTTGGCAGTGGGTTTTGCCTTCTCCCTCAGAGTCACTGGGTGAGTTTGAATCACCAACCTTCAGCTACCACACTGAGCACTTAGCCACAGTGTCACCGGCCTCTTTAAAGAGATCTCATAGTTGTATTGCTAAGTGCTACCAAGGAGCTTCTGACTCATGGCAACCCTTTTTTAAAAAATAAATTTGTCATTAGAATGCCAAAAGAAACCTATTCCAGAAAAAAAGGGGATGCTGTTTACTCTGTGTAAGGCACTGAGTTGCTATTACCCTCTTTCTTCTCTCAGTAAACCAGGAAGGTGAATGATCCCCATTCACAGAGGAACAGACTGAGGCTCAGGTGGGTCTGAAGTGAGCACAGCTGTCCCAGATCCACTGTCCATAGCAATGCTTCTCAACCAGAGACAGTTCACAATGTCTGCAGACAGTTTTAGTTGTGAAAATGTTGGGCAGAGTTACAATCACTGTCATGAATCAAAGTGTGTATGAATTGTCAAATGGAACTTTCTCCTAAATCACAATAAAAGTTTTTTGTTTTTTAATTGGAGAAAGGGGTGCTATTAACACTGAGTCAAGGAGAAGGACTTCTAACCATCCTATGCTGCACAGGACAGCCCCCCACAACAAAGAATTTTTTGGCACAAAATGCCAATAGTCCCACGGATGACAAACCCTGCTCTGCTGGTTGCTGGCCTTGGCTACACACTGGAACCTTTTCGGGGAGCTTTTGTATATCCTGATGCCCAAGCTGCACCCAGACTAACTACATGAGACTCAGGTGGGGCCCGGTGTCAGAGTTTTTTCCAAGCTTGCAAAGTGGTTCCAATGAGCAGCCAAGGTGCCCCTGCACTGAACTACTTACATGGCAGGTTTCTGCTCCAACCATCGGGCCCTCAGCAAGGTGTGCCCAAGTCTGTCTGGGGTGTACAATAAGCATCAGTCCTGTCCTCACCACCATGCAGAAGGGGAGGGCGTCATCAAAGGTGAGGGCTTTGGTTCACCTGTTCCTTCTTTTGAGATGGATTGAATGACAGCACAGGTGGGGACCTTCAAGGGCTAGGGTGGGTGGGAGGTGAGTATAACTCTTTCCTTCTCCTCTCCTGGAGCCTCCCCAGATGCTACTAAAAGCTTCCTGAAGAGAAGAGGCTGTGGACCAAAGAGCAAGGCTGCCACCTAATGGAAGATCTGGACAGAAGGCCACCTTTGAGTGCCAGCAGGCAATGTTTTATTTGCTCCTCACGACACCCTGTGAGGTAGTTGTAGACAAGGACCCGGAAGCACAAGAAGATGAAGCTGTGTACTCAAGAACCCACAGTACCTCTGCACCCAGGTCTGACTGATCTGTGTATACTCTCACACCCACACCTAGTTCAAGAGAAATCGCCCCCCAGAACTGGGCTGCCCACTGCCCTCTTCCCTCCTGATAAATATGTGAGACTTCCCAGAGGGTCCAGGAATTTCCTTGCTGGAAACTGACCAGCATCACCTCCAACGGAATTCTTGTTCTTTTCACAGCAAAATCCTCCAGGGAGTGGTCAGTAAGGGCCTGGGCACAGACGTGGCAGAGCCTTGGGCACATGTCAGCACACCCACCCCCTGCCCTCCTGCACACACACATCTTGGGCAGTCCCATCAGCCCCTGTTCTGCCTCTCTTCTTCTGATGGTAAAGACAGAGATGAGTGCTGAGCCACTCTGGGCCTTTCCACTGTGACTGAGGATACGGGAAGGTCTTGGTGAAGTTGCTCTGTTTCTCCCTTGGCAGGGAAACCCTTCTTCTGGCTACAGATGGAGTGAAGCAGAATCCCTGTACAGACAGACAAAAGGACAAGGAAAAGAGATAGAGACAGGACCATGTATGGGGCTCTGGACCTGCGCTGGGCACACTCTAATAATTCCATCCTCCTCAGGAAGTACTGTTGTCCCCATTTTGCACATAAAGCAATTAAGCTACAGAAAGCCGAAGTAACTCATTGAGGGAGAAAGAGCCAGAAAAGGGGATTAGAGAGAAGCTGTGCCTGTATGATTACGAGGGACGAAGGGGCCTCACCTGCAGCCACAGAGACATTTAAGGACTCGAGTCCTGCAGGCAGCTGCCGCCGGGGCACGATGGTAAGGAGGAGTTGGCAGGAGGCCTGCACCTCTGGGGACAGGCCTGAGCCCTCATTCCCTGCATGGACAAGGGCACAAGGTTAGGGGCACCACCGTGTCTCAGTACAGAAAAGCTGGGACAGCTACCCACCTAACACCAGGAGAGTGGGCCTGTCCCAGAGGAACTCCAAGCAGCTGCTGACAGGGATAGTGGAGGAATGGGGAATCTCAGGCCTCAGGCAGCCCACTGTGCCGACCACCAACCAGCCCTGCCGGGCCTTTGCCTGCAAACAAGGAAAAGAAACCATGTTCTAGTTCACCAAACCTTTACCAGAGCCCTGGCCCAGGAGAGCACAGCCTTGCCCATAAGTTCATTCACTTCTCTAGCTGTTGTTAAGTGCTGTAGAGTCAGCTCTGACTCATAGCAACCTTGTTTATGTTTCCAAGGCTTCAAATCTTATGGGGGCAGAAAGCTTCATGTTGCTCCCTTGGAGCAGCTGGCGGGCACAAAACATGGGCTTTCTGGTTCACATCATGTGGAAGCAGCGCTTATGGTATGAAGCTACTCCCTAATCCATTCAATTCAGTCAACGGCTATTAACCATCTATAATGGGCCAGGTTCTGTTCTAGGCACTAGGGATGGTGGTGGTGTGCCACCAAGCTGATTCCAATACATAGTGACCCTGTATAGGGTTTGAGGCTGTACATCTTTACAGGTGCAGAAAACTTCATCTTTCTCCCACAGAGCAACTGGTAGATTAGAACCACTGACCTTCAGGTTAGCAACTCAGCTCATAATCCACTATGCAAATGGGGTTCTTTTAGGCCCTGGGGATAGAGCAGTAAAAAAATAAAAGACCAAAATGACAGTCTCATGGAAGGGTGATCAGGGAAAAGTCTCACTGAAGCAGCATTATGTGTGAGGCTGAAGGAGATGGGGGGCATCTACTCTTCAGCAGTAGGTTCTTACCACAGGGACCTGAGGAGTCGGTTGTTGTTGTTAAGTGCCATCAAGTCGGTACCGACTCATAGCGACCTTATGCACGGTAGAACAGAACACTTCCCAGTCCTGGGCCAACCTCACTATCATTACCACGAGTCGGTTAGAAGCTACCAAACGCAGAGCAATACTGCCCCCTTGTGTCCAGAAGGGAAACACGGCAGAAGGATGGGTCCCATTCTTACCGTTGCATAGAGTTTCCAAGGCTGGTGTGGCGCTGTGGGTTAAGGCGCCGGACTGCAAAGCCGTTTGAACTGCAAGGTTGGCGGTTCAAACTCACCAGTCGCTACTTGGAAACCCTATACTGAGTCACCATGGATCGGAACAGACTTGACGGCACTTAACAACAACATTGATAACAACAAAAAAACATAACATAAAATCCTAAAATCTAAGAAGGGTCTATCAAGCTAAGAATATTAACAGACCGTTCTTAAATTTCAAAGTTTATTATGTAGTTTGTTTTTGGTGGGGGGGGGGCAAAGAAAACTTCGTGGTCAGGGAGCCTTTAAGCCGGACCCCCCTGTTGTTGTTAAGTAGGTTCCAACTCACAGTAACTCTGTATGGGGTTTCCAAGGAGCGGTTGGGGGATTCGAACCGCCAACCAGACACACCCCACGTACAGCACCGCCTAAACCACCACCCGCAGTAAAGAGGATGAAGATACGGAGTCCCTGATAATTTGCCATTTGTGGTTTTAAAAACTCCGGGGTCAACCTTTCCCAACGGGATTTAGATGGCCTTAGGCCGTGCAACAGCTCCCTCCACCCATCAGCTGCAGGCTGAGAGGGCTGGAGAGGCCGGGTGCGGATCTTTACCTGCATAAAGCTGGGTAGGTCATCAGCGGAGAACACATCCATCACCTCTACAGCCCCAGCGCTGGCCTTGCTGACGACTGGGGTGAGCGGACAGCTGCAAAGTTTCCCATTGCCCGCATCAAGCTCTGCAATCCAGAGCCCGGAGGCCCCCCTAACCCCCAAGGGATTAGTAAGGATGAGAGCTGGGGGGTGAGGAGGCCTGCCTGAGAGACAACCACTGGAATCAAAGTGCTCAGGAACTCGGCTGCGCCTCTAAACGGGGGTACCTAGGGAGTAAGGGAGTTCCATGCCTGTTTTTCCGGCTGGTGATGATCTTATCCACTCCGAGGAAGAGAGCGGAGCGCAGCACGGCCCCAAGATTCCGGGGATCCTGGAGCCCCTCGAGGACTAGCCATAGTTGCTGAGGGTCATCGCCTGGCGTTGCCTCCCTGGCCTCAGTCCAGGGCTTCGTGTGCAGGGGGCTCACCTCCATGCACACGCCCTGGTGAACCTGGTGACGGCACAGGGCGTCCAGCTTCTGCCGTCGAGGCCGCACAACTGGGATGCCCTGCGCCTCAGCCGCCCGGAGCAGCTCGGCCCGCTCCCCCTGTATCCCGGCCCTACCAGCCTGGAGCAGGAGCCGGGCCACGCGCCGGCGGGCGGCCCTCAGGGCCAGGAGACAAGGAGACAGGCCAAACAGGAGTTCCAGTCCCCTAGCCGACCGCCGGCCTGGAGCCAGGTCATCAAGCAGCAGGCGGCTTAGCTCCTCCCCGCCGGGCCGCTCCCCACGCCCCCCGGGACGCGCCGCCCAGGAGAAATGACAGACGAAGAGGCGACCAGATCCACAACCGGTCGCACCCCGGACAAACCCGAGCAACCTCATGGTTCGGGCTACGCTGAGGACTTGATCCCCCTTGCTGCGTTGCTGGGTATAGTCACCACAGGCGGGGCCCGCTTTTAAGCACCCAATACAGGAATGAAGGGGATTCCCATCACACCATCTCAGAGGAAGACGTAGTCTCAACACAAGCTCCGAGATCTCTCAGAACAGCCCACTCACGATCACCCACTTCCCACGTGGGCCGTGGCGCTTCCGGGTTTGCGCAGCCCAATCCCTGGCCCCGGCGACGCATTGCGCATGTCCAACCAACAGGCCATTCTCCACAGCGCCTCCTGCAGGCGACCTCCATTGAGCGGCGGACATCCAGGAGGCAAAGCTCCAAGCGTCGCTGACCCTACTGTCGGCTCCATTGGCACTTCCCCCTTGCCCAGCACCTGCACCCTCATCCAGCCTTCCTCAAACTGCAGAAGCAGCACCCTTGGAGGACCTAGGAGACTGAGGGCCGCATTCACCCTGATGCCAGCAAAGGACAGTCCTCCTAGTCAACTATATCTGGGACCTCCCCTGCACATCCAAGCCACCAGCGAATACTGAGGATTTTCCTCAGAATCCTCTTCCTGCTTCCAGCCCCTCCCCCAGTGTCTTGTCAGCCTCTTTCCACCAGTCAGTAGGATCCCAGCAATAACTTCCTATCCTGTGGTCAGTGATTCTTTTCCCAACACTTGCCCTGTTTGTCTTCTTTTCTAGTTGGCAAACTCCTATCCATTTCAAGACCTGATCCAAACCCACTCCTAAAAGAATCCACATCCTGGAATCGATGCCCCAAATCCACCATCCCGCACTTCCTTCTCACAAGGAAGCAATCCTGACACAATCACCCCTCATCGCAGAGTAAGGGAAAGAATTGAAAGGCACTCTGAAGCCAGTGTTGATTGCTTGGGATTTTTAATGGTCATAGTGAAATACACTTGGAAATTAGACCCTGATGTTCTGTTGCCATAGTTAAGAGTGAGGACCCCACCCAGACCTAGAAGCCAAAATTGGGCTGGGAAGCTGGAAAGAGGAGAGGGACAGCAAGGTGTGGAGAGGAGAAAACCTGGAGCCCTGGAGAACCTTTCAGATATAAGGTTAGGGTATCTCTCTACCACCTCAACCCTGAGAGGCAAGGTTCAGAGAACAAGATTGGCCACAGCTCCGGTCCCAGGTGAAGGGGAAGATACTGAGGAGGTGAGCAAAGTGCGAGGAGCTCAAGAAGGGGACCAAGGTGAAACAATCAGGGATGTCACCTTCTCTCCCCAGCCCACTTTTCACATTTGCAATGGAAACAATCTGACAAGATTATAGGAAAACTTCCAACATATTTTCTAGCCCTTGGTGGGAGTGGAGGAGGGAGGTGGAATCCAAGGGTCGAGAAATCAACACCTAAAATCCAGAGGCAAGAGCCAAGCCATGGGGAAGGAAAGAGGAACGCCCCACAGGCCACTAGGTCACCTGCTCCGTGGGCCTCATCTGGATGTCTCCGATCTGCGGAAGGCACAAGGCTTCAGGCAGCCAGGACACTCTCCCCAGCCCCTGAAGGTCTCCCTGCTCCCCTCCTCTGGGAATGACTGGGCTCCTCTAGGGGTAGACAGTCAAGGTCAGACTCACCTGGACGTGTGGGGGGGTGCTGAGGACGTAGACGACAGCCTCGGCCACATCCTTGGGTTTGAGACACTGAGAGTACCGGGCGAGAGGGTTGGGGACAGAAGAGGCTCACTGTGCCCCTACCCCCACCCCAAGGAGGCGCTGTCCAGCATTCATATTCCCACCCTAACCTTCCAGAAGGAGCAACAAGCTCGCTAGAAGGGTGGGTTTGAAATCAGGGATCCTTTTGCCTACACTCCAGGGATGAGTAGCTTCACCAGACCCAAGAAGGAAGCCCCACCTTCATGTGTTCGTATGTGGCAGCTGCCTTCTCAGCGTCCTTGTCATGAAGTTTGAAGGCGAACTGTGTCTCCACCACCCCTGGAGAGATACACTGGGCCAATAGAGAGGGCCTGCTCAAGGGCTGAGCTATGTCTCTCACCCTGCCTCAACCAGAATCCAAGCCTCTGGGGAGGTTGAGACAAAACATTTACAGCTTTATAGGTGGCTACAGGATGTCCACAGCCACATTCTCTCTCCAAAGTTGCCACCAGTGAGGATAACAGTGATTCCTGCCATTGAAAGAGGCCACCCTAGAGTCCTACTGTGGCACTGTGGGTTAATGCGCTAGACTGCAAAGTCAGTTTGAACCACAAGGTTGGTGGTTCAAGCTCACCAGTTGCTCCTCAGTTGCTACGAATCAGAAACCACTTGATAGTACTTAACAAAGAGGCTTTACTAGACTCCTGGTGTGGCACTGTAGGATCAGCACTGGACTGCAAACCACGAGGTCGGCAGTTCAAACCCAGCTGCTCCTCAAAAACCCTATACAGGGTTGCTATGAGTTGGAGCTGACTTTATGGCACTTAACAACAAAGACAACTTACTGTATGTTGGGTAAATGTTTTACAAAGTGGCATAGTGCCTTAGCACCTCATAATTAGATAAGTAACACTGTCTCCATTTTATGAGAAGACCAAGGCTTGGAGAGACCAGACTTGGCTAAGGTTGAGTGGCCTTCAAAAAGAGTCCACAGTGTGGGGGGAGTTCAACCACTACACACCTGTTCTCCTATATTGCTGTTGTTGTTGAGTAGGTTCTGACTCACAGCGACCCTGTGTGGGGTCCAAGGTGAATTTGAACCACACACCTTGCAGTTCAAACCGGCCTCGCAGACCAGCATCTTATCCCACAGTGCCACAGGTGGTCTCCTCGAACCGCCTTCTTTTTCTCACACCACTGTGTTTCTCTCAGACCCCTGCCACTGTCACCAGCTTCTGGACCAGTGAAGTGTCAAAAACACAAGTACTGAGCAGGGCCAGGAAAGTAGCAACAAAGCCCATGAACTCTGTACCTAATCCACTCCCAGGACACCCTGGACTTGGGCTTCCTGGGCAATGTGGGAGGGCTGGGGAGGGGGTCCTGTGCCCACCCCATCCCTGCCAGGGCTAGGCTGGGCCCTCACTGTGGCTCGGATGTGGGTCTGGGCCTCGCGAAGCTCATGCCTCAGTCCCTCTGTCAGGGCAGTGACGGCGTACTTGGTTGCGCTGTAGAAATGGATGACCGACTGGGGTTCCACTCGGTGGCCAGACATGCTGATGGAGGGAGAAAAGGAGGTAGAACATGGAGTGACGCACCTACGAGAGACTGGCATCACCCCCTGCTGTACTCCACACGTAGTACCCCATTAGATCACGAACCCACCACCTATATGTCCACAGGAATGCCGTCTAATGGTCATTTGCATGATTCACTAATCTAGCTTCTGTTCCTCAAGCACCTTCGTAAAGCCCTTCTCCTCCGAAGAGTCCTCCCTTTGCTGACCACAGCATCTTCTCTCCTGGTCACACAAGATGTCAAAACATCTCAATTTCATCTGTGTGTTCAATAACATGGAGAGAACCTATAGGGCAGGGACTATGTCTCCCTCATCAGACTGGGTGGTCCTGATGGCAGACTGTGCAGTCTTTCTTTTTACCACAAGGTGGAGCTCATCCCAAGGCCTGAGGAATGCAGCCACTCAGTCCCGGGAGAGTCCCAGGCTTCAGCTGCAAAGCAAAGGGACTAAGCTACCTACCCATTCCACCCTCTAGGGGATGGCATTCTGGCCCTCCACCATAATGGTGGTCTTCTACCACTGAAGAAACTGAGTTCCAAAGAGGTCAAATGAGCTGCCTCAGACGACCCGGTACAGAGGATGAGAAACTATCTGGACTCTCGCTGTTGGCCACCCGCCCTCACCTGTTGATGTTAATGATGTGTCCGTCATCTACCTTCCGTTCCCTCATAGACTGGTAGGCTTCCCGCGTGCAGATGCTGAGAGCCAGCACATTCACCTGTGGGCCAGGGGGAGGAAATGGGGTGTCTCTAGCTCATGCCCTTCTGGGCAGGGGATGGAGCCACAGAACACTGGGGTGGGGGTGGGAACGAACGATGGGCCAAGACTTCTTATCTTCTACTCTAGGTGACCCTTCCCGGAAAAGCACCAACCCCAGCTGACCACAGAGGCCTCCCCACCCACAGGTCTCAGCAAACAGGAACAAAACTCCTAACTAACCCCATCCATAACTCAGAAGACTCTACGTTGGCCATCTCTTCTGAAAATGGTAGAACCTCTCTGCATTACGAATTCACTTCCTTTCCTTCTTCAAATTCCCAAAGTTTCTCCTTTCTAGGACCTGAAAAACAGTCTAAAATTCCTCCAGAATGGCATAGGAATTTCTCCTCAAGCATACTCGTCCTCTCTCCACTGTGCTCTTTCCCATTCCCTGAATTGAGATTAAAAGTGGAGAAAAGAAGGTTTCTCCTCCTTTTCTTTCTTTCTATCTTTCTTTCTTTCCTTCCTTCCTTCCTTTCTTCCTTTCACCTGTGTTTCATCTATAAGACTAGGCCCAGAGGTTCTCTAGGGAGTGGGGTAGCTTGTCACAGGGATGGGATGGCAGGGGACCTCCTAAGGACATAGGGACTCATGCATTCCTTGGCCCTTGCTCAGTCCACCTTCTAGCCACTCTGGCAAAAAGCCCTGAAGAAACGCCTGTCAAGGGCCTGTTCTGCCCCACCCAGGAGTATAAGCAGAGATAAACCCATCAGCAGGCTTGCATTCGCCCTCCTTAGGAAGAGAGGGAACCAGCTGGGAGATGAGATGTTTCTCTTTATCGGGCAGCGTCAGAGAGCTTGGCATCAGGAACAGAACACCCTTGGTGTGAACCTGCCTTCAAGTTCATGACAGTAGGAGGGAAAGATATGCACCAGGAGGGCGGGGAGGTTCCTGACCCTTTTAACAATGTAGTTGTATGGAGCAGAAAACTCAGCTCCTTGGGGTACATGAAGTAGAAGAAATAGAAACCCCTGGACCAGGTAAATGGGCCTTCTAGGTCTGAGGGTCTGGGGTAGGGGACAAGGTGGAGAAGCTGCTTCATAAGACAGTCCTAATAGAATCAGATTAATGCTCAAGCAGAAAGGGGCTTTAGGGAGTTAACATAATTCCCTCAAATTGAGGTCAAGTTGAGGTCCACATTTGAAGACCCCTTGCTGCAGGTGAGGAACATGTCACTGAGCTTTCAGAAGGCTCTCTGAGAGTAGGGACGATGCTGTCTCGCGTGATTTCCAGGCCTAAACGCTTCTTGTCGTCACTGTTAGCTGCCATGGCGTTGGTCCCTGACTCACGGCAATCCCATCTTTACAGCGTAGAGCTACTCTATGAGGTACCCTTGGCTGTAATCTTTACAGACGCAGTTTGTCTCGCCTTTCCTCTGTGGAGCCACTGGGTAGATGCAAACCACCAACTTTTAGCTAGCAGCCAATTGCAAACCACGTTTGCCACACATGCTCCTTGCCCAAGCATCTACTGGGTGCTAAATCTGTTGTGGTTTAAGTGCCACAGAGTCGGTTCCAACTCAGAGAGACCCTCCATGGGGCTTCCAAGGAGCAGCTGGTGGGTTTGAACCACTGACCTTGCGGTTAGCAGTCCAGTGCTTATCCTATGGTGCCACACCAGAAGATATTAGCAGAAGGGAAAAGGATTGTTGGAGAAAAGAAATGTCACATATACACATTGATTTTAACTTCTCCAAATACTTTCATTGTTGTTGTTTTTGTTGTTAAGTGCCATCGAGTCAGTTCCGACCCATAGCGACCCTGTACAGGGTTTCCAAGGGTGTAAATCTTTACGGGAGTAGAAAGCCTCATCTTTCTCCCGCGGAGCGGCTCGTAGTTTCGAACCACTGACCTTAAGGTTCGTAGCCCGATTCGTAACCACTACGCTACCAAAAGTTGAAAACTCATTTCTTAAAGACTGTACTCAACCTGTACGCTGTCTTAAAATGTATTAGTTTGCAACAGGTATCAGAAGATTTCATTTATTAAATAGCTGTTGAGTGCTTATAGGCTAAACCTGTATCAAATAATAAAACAGACAAAAAGCATCTTTTCCCTCACAGAGTTGGCATTTTAGTGTCTTACTTAGGTGTTTTAGTGAACACTCCAACCCTCACATAAAAATCCAGATTCCCCACTTCTCTCAAAGAAACTATAACATGTGGTCACACTAGGCCCACATTGCCATTTATAGTAATGACGCTGGACTTGAGCAACAGCCACCCCATTAGATGGCTGTGAATTCTCCCACTCACTGTAGACCCCACCTGACCTGGCTCACTCATCTGTGCAACCAACCTGGCCCCAAGGGGGCATTTGAGTTTGAGACCCCAGATACTGATGGTGTGTTTATCCCAATTAAAAGTGACTAGACTGAAGCTCAGAGAACGTAATGAAACTGCCTAAGATCTCACATTACCACCTGTAGGGCCGTGTGACAACATCACCTCTTGCCTCTGGGTCCCTTTTCTTTCCATAGGACCATGTTCCCAAGCACTCAACTGAGCAATAACATGTGGGGACATTCAATAAACAGTCCTCTCCCCTACCAACCTTTGTTCAACAGAAGCCAATCAGCCTAGATTTAAGATTTACCCATGAGGGCTTGGAGTCCTGGTGGAGTCTTGTATTATTTGCTCAGCATACAGTAGCACTGTGGGTTAATGCACCAGACTGCAAAGACATTTGAATTACATGGTTGGCGGTTCAAGCTCACCAGCTGTTCCTCGGAAACCCTATATAGGGTTGCTATGGGTTGGAACCGACTCGATGGCACTTCACAACAACAACAACAACAACAACAATGGGGCTCAAGGAACAAAGGACTGAAAAGATAGAGCCTCACCAACCCTCCACAAGGGTAAGGTGAAAGCCCAAATACCTCCAATCTGAAGCTTCCTTTTCCTGGTTGGCAGAGCCCCAGGAGCCCTTTAGTGCATAAAACCCCTGGCTCCCTGCTCTCCTCCCAACACCCAGCCGAGAGTCTTACGTTGAACATGTCCTTCCAGCCACTGGTGCTGCCTGAAAGCAGGGTGTCAGGCCGGGCCAGGCCTGCGTTGTTGATGCAGATGTCCACACCACTGTGCTGAGAGCGGATGGCTGAGAACATGGAGAGGATGTCCTCCTCATTAGATAGGTCGCATCTGTAGGGGATCAAAGTCCCGGGGTAGCCTGCACTCTTACATTCAGCAGCCAGCTCCTATGAAACCCAACAGGGGTCTGACTAGGGTAAGCTGTTCATGCCCACACCTTCCCACCCAAAGACAGATCTCCTTCCCCCCCCTGTTTCCCCTCATAGGACTCGCTCATGTGGCAGCCTTCCTTCGGCCACCTAGATGTCGGGACTGCCCATCCCCAAAGTTTGTCCTCTTTGATCAAAATCCAGGGGCTGAGTACTTCTTGAGTGAGGGAAGGAGAAAAGTTGAAGAGAGCAAAAAGTTGAGGAAAAACTGGATTGTAGAGTCAGGTTTCAGGACCCTCACACATCACTCAGTCTTCCATTCTGAGAGGATCCAGTGTAATAAATGATTTTTATATGGCCTTTATCACCATGTTCTTGTAACTCCCACAAAATGACTGAGTAGGACCATGCAAATAAAGTTTTTGTGGCCCACCAAAGGGGTTAGATACCTTATTAATAATGCAAATATGTTGCAGGCACCATTGTGAGGATGGACCATGCAAACCGGGTGTATGGAACCCTAACAAGGAGATTGGTCAGTTTTGTCATCCTGCTAGGTTAAAAATGAGATGTCCCAAAGGAACACAGAGGGAACTGACTACCATCAAGAAGAAGAGATGGAACAGAGTGTGTCCTTTGGGCCTGGGGCCCCTGTGCTGAGAACCTCCTAGACCCAGGAGACACAGAGAGAGAGAGAGAGCTAGAGATGATACAAAATGGCGAGCAGCCATCAAAAGCACAGAAATGGCATCAGCAGAACCAGCCCAGCATGAGAGAATGCAGTTGGCCACAGTGGGTATGCTGCAGTGACACAGCTGAATGCCTTCAGGGAGGGGGTTCCCTGGTGGAGTGGGGTGCCACTGGGCATTTGTCCACAGGCTTGCAGATGCACAAGCACTTTCAGGCTATTGGTGGAGCTAAAGAGCTCTGTAACTCTATCCCAAGTATGGCAGAAGCTGGGTTGGCCCAAGTGGCTGAGGCCCAGGGAGATGGGCATGGCTAAGAAGCTGTCCTGGTCGAAGAACTATATTCTGAGTTGTTCCTGATTCTGAATTATTTAATGTTACTTCCCTAATAAACCCTTTAACTCTGAGTATGGTCTGTAAGTTCTGTGTGGCCATGGCAATGAATTATCAAACCCGAGTAGAGAGTGCTGTAAGAGGGATGGCTAGTCTCAGAATTGGTAAAAGGTTGGAAAGAAGAGATAAGTCTGACCTTTGCCTCATAGCAATCAGCCTTGAATTGTTGGTGCCAGTAAAGCAATCTCTTCCCTGTTTGTGAAATTACTTTACAAAGATTGTTGTTGTTGTTGTTAAATGCTGTCGAGTTGGTTCCAACCCATGGTGACCCTGTATAGGGTTTCCGAGGCTGGGAGCAGAAAGCCTCATCTTTCTCCCATAGAACCACTGGTAGTTTCAAACTGCTGACCTTGAGGTTAGCAGCCCGACTTGTATCCACTATGCTACCAGAGATTTATTGTTATATGCCATGGAGTCGGTTCCAACTCATAGTGACCCTGTACAGGGTTTCCGAGGCTGTAAATCTTTACGGAGCAGAAAGTCTCATCTTTCTCCCACAGAACAGCCGGTAGTTTCGAACTGCTGACCCTGAGGTTAGCAGCCCGATTAGTAACCACTAAACCAGAGATTAGGGCTGGGAAAAAAACAGGAAATAGAATACTATTGAATGATGAGATGCATGGAGATTGTAATCATTGCAATGAGATGATGGTGTAAAGCCAATGCTCTTCCATGTAAACGATCACTCAGTTCACAATACAAACTTTTTTTTTTTTTTTATTAAAGCGAGATTAGGGCTGTGGCTGTGAAGGGGTCAAAGGAGGACAAGGCTCCTGGGGATGGAGTGATATCTCTCACACCATGCACGTCATGTTTCTTCCACTACTACCAAGAGTCACTAAGCTGGTTATCCCAGAGCCTCAATTTTCTCATCCCCCATCACCTCACCCAATCTCTCCTAGAAGGGCTCATCTCTGACCTATCTGAAGGGAGGGGCTCACACATTCAGTCATTCACTTCTCTCCATCCTGTCTGCAGCCCAATTGGCTCTGGAGTTCTCACACAAATCAATCAAGCCCAAACATCAATCTCTCCTCTGCCTACCTAAAGAAAGGATTGGGAAATCAGGACAGATTATTTTTGTGTGTCCCCTGGTGTGCCAAGGTCTTTGAGAAACACCTGAGAAAGTGGAACCACAGAGAGACGGCCATGAGAGAAGTGTAAGAAATCCAGCTGCATGGTCTTGGGTCTTGGAAGTCAATGACTGGACCCTTCTTGAATCTTGTGAAAGTGACTGTGTACATGTGTATGTGTGAGGGTGCAGGGTACCCGATAGGAAGGCCAGCTTGGCCATCTGCCTTGGCCTGGAGTCCCTTCCTTCCCTCAAACCAAGCTGGAAATAAAAGATGAAGTGATTTAGGAAATCCTTTTCTACTTCAACTCTAAGAGTTCAAAAGGTATAGTCCTCTAAGGCTCAGAAAACCCCTTATCCAATTTCCCCATCTCACCATCACCACAGGAAATGAGGCTGCCTTCTGTAAGAAGACAGAAACTAAACTCCACATTCATATCAATGAATCAGACTGTGGGCAAGGAAACCTGGCATACACAACTTCACCTTCTTCCTCTAAACTCAAAGTCCTCCTGGGTAATGTCAGAAGAGATGTCTCTCTGTCACTACATTATTATTGCCCCACCTGTGCCACCTGGATCAACTCCCCACCTACCCTCAAAATGAAATCAATTCAGTTCCCTCACCCAGGTGCTCAGTGATCAGCCTGGGGAGCCTCAGTGATCCCTTTCCTGGCAAGTTTGGGGTAGGGAAGTAGGAAAAGAAAGTAAGAGAGGCTTTAGAATTAGGAAATCCATTTCTCCAATATCTAGCCTGATCCTCTGGACTCCAGCACTGGGTCTGAGCCCTGAGCTCCTCAGAATAGGGGAGAGGGAGGGACAAAGTGGGGCAGTGATTGAGCCAGGTGACCTTGACATTATCTGGAAAGCTATAAAGTGTACCTTTGTTCAGCAGCAGGGAGGGGACAGTCCTCTTTCCTGTACACCTTCTCCCTCTACCCCCACCCAAGGCCTTCCTACCCTTTCCCTGCCTGGAGACTTTGAAGGATGGTGGAGATAAAGCCATGCGGTTAGACATTAGCTCAAATCCTGAGAGTGACCTTGCCAGGAACAAATCTTAAAATGACCTATGATAGAAATTTCTCCTGTCTCCTTCCTCCCTGCTTCAACATGGCCAACTCAGTTTCATTTTTCTGTGAGTTCTTGGTGTTCTCAACTATAGGAACTCACAAACCCACACTAAGAAAACCAGAAGTTTCACTTCCATACTGCTTTGCCCCCTTGGAGTTCATAGGTTCAATGACAGATTTTCCTTAATCAGCCCCACCTTAAAAACAAACAACACCCCCACTGAAATCAAGTGGATTCCCACTCATAGCAACCCTATAGGATGGAGTAGAACTGCTCTTTAGGGTTTCTGAGGCTATAAATCTTTACAGAAGCTGTTTGAACTCTGACCTTGTGGTTAGCAGTTCAATGCTTAATCCATGAGACACCAGCGTCCTTTAGCCTCCCCTGTGGCGGTGACATTTGTAAGTGGTCTCCTATCCCTATGCCCATAAAGTATGGGTTAACCCTCAGATTTGAGGGCCTGGCAGGGCTGAGCTTCCACTCCCACCCCAATCCCACTGTAAATAAACCCAGTTTCTGCCACTGAGTTTACAACGTAAAATGACCAACCGCTAGCTCCTGCTTATCTAGCTTGCCAACACATTTTGACTGTGGGTGAGGTGTGGGTGAGAGAGGAAGCGATCCATTAGCTAACCTAGCCACTGAGGCCAGAAAGCTTGCTTTCCTTCTCCCTGGCTGCCCGAGGAGGCAGGTGATGGGGAAAAATAGTTGCCGGGGATTAGAGATTTCGCTAGAGCAGGGGCTGTCAGGAGGAAATGTCTCCTTCAAGACGGGACTTCAGGAGGCGAGGTTAGGGCCTCTCCCACTAGGCACCCATCCCTCCGGCCTCAGAGCCCGTGGCAAATAGCCCTGGGGTTGCGGGCAAGGGCAGCGCCACAGCCTGACCCCTCCCCCACCCGAAGCCTTTTCCCTGCGGAACCGACACCTCCCAGAGCGCCCCAGCTCCCCGCAGGGCCTAACATACCTCGATATTGCCGACGGTGCGGGCACAACCCACCACCTTCAGTCCTTGCTGGACTAGAGCCCGGGCCACAGCCGCGCCGATGCCCCCCGAGGCGCCCGTCACCAGTGCCAGCCGGTCGCGCCACCGCTCCATGCCGGCCCTGGCCTTGGTACCAAGCCGCCAGCCCACCTCGCTCCGAGAGCCGGGTACTTAGATCGGGGAGTTCTGCCCCAGGTCCGAGAAGTTCAATCGCTCTCTAGTCACCGCCGCCACAGCTTTCGTAGATCTGCCCAAGTTCAAGCTGTTCTCAAGCTCTTCTCCATCCTGGTTAGACCCCGGTCGGGGCTCCGCCCGCCAGCCCTTCGCGCCGAGCCACATCCAGCCGAGGGCGGCTCCGTCCTGGCCGGCCCGCCCGGCGCAGGCCCCGCCCCTCTCGCCCTTCGAGCTCACCCCACCCCCGACAAGTGGAAACCGTACCTTCTCCGGTTCTGGCCGGCTCGGGAGTGTGTGGGCTTGCTTCCCCAGTGAACTGGTGCTAGGGAAATCGAGGCTGAGCGGGTCTCCCCTCCCAGTTCCGGACCCATAAAACCAGGATGAACGAGGCCCAGGTGTGGAGCTGAGGTAAGCAACTCACTGCTAACCCCAAAGTCGGTTGAAACACAAGAGGTGCTTCTCCGAAACCCTATACAGGGTTTCTATGACCAACTCTACAGCACACAAGGTGACTTCAAGGGGCCCTGGTGGTTCTATGGTTTAAGGATTGGGCTGCTAGCAAGGGCGGCGATTCAAACCCACCCGGGTCAAATATGAATGAGGGTACCTGCCCCTAAAAGATTGTCTTGTTGGTGTGGTGCTGTGGGTTAATGTGCTAAACTGAAAAGTTGGTTTGAACCATAAAGTCAGTAGTTCAAGCTTGCCAGCTGCTCCTTTGGAAACCCTATACAGGTTCGCTGTGGGTCAAAACCGACTTGACGGCACTTAACAATCCTGTATAGGATCTCTGGGTTTGGGCTTCCTTTTTTTGAAGATAGCATTAACATCCTCCCCAGCCATCCTGTGGCTGAATGGAAGTCTCCAGCATTGGGAGATTTGGGAAGGGCTCTTCACATCCTACCTGACCAACCCCTCCACATTACATCTGAGTAGAATAGTTAAAAATGCAAATACCCCCATGTACACCTGTACTGGGAGACTGTCCCTAACGGGCTAGACTGTCTCCAATTATCCTTGTCCATTTCTAGCCCCCACCACATTATAGAATGTATCACCATACATACCAAAGATAAAAGCAGTAACAAACACTCATTGTGTGTGACAGGCTCTTTTAAGTACTTTACAACATATAAGGGGACTTCAGAAAGTATTGGAAAAGGAATTAAATGGCATTTTTCATAAACCTTTTGTAACTGTATTAATAATCGGGGCAACCACTCGAGATAGGCACTATTCTAAAGATAAGTATATGGAAAGTAGTGACACATGGTTTGGACAGAAAGAAAATCCATCTTAGGCCAAAGATGTGCTCCTACTGCCTTCAAAACTTCATTAGCCCTGGGAGAAACTACTCAGAAAAGGGGGAGGATGGATGCACAACCTTAAGGATATAATCTGTGCCTAAATTGTACAAGTAGAAACAGTTGAACTGGTGTATGTTTTTCTGTGTATACTCTCAACCAAATTAAAGACAAAGAATTAGCCCTTTTCTCTCTTCTGGGGTTGCCGACTTTGTTCTTTTGACCGCTTAGGGTATTTCATCAGTGTTGAAAATTCTTTACATACCTTCTGCATTGATTATATACCTCTTCTTCCAAAGGAAAAACATCCCTGAATCACCACTGGAACCTTTCTTTCCACAGCAAGCAATGGAAATAGTAAATGGGGTTGGAAGGCAAAGATAAATTAAAACAAAACCAACACTTGGCTTTAGGGGTCTTAAGAGACCTTGGCTACAGTGGTTGGTAGAGAGGGGATTGGCCTCAAAGAAATTGGGAGACCCTTAATGATTTTTTATAAATTCTAGTATAAGTGAAAACAGGCAACAATCAGAAATGAATTATGACTTATCTTACCTCTGTCCCAATCATTACACACTTGAGATTTAAAGACAACTCGCGAAGCGAATCAAAGAAACACCACCAAATACAAAATTAAATCTAAGCTTCTGCTGTTACAAGAAATCTGATTAAATGACTTAAAGCCCATAAAATTCACTCCATTCCATTGTGCAACAGTATTGACTGTTCCACTGTTTTTCTGCTGCTAAGTATTATCTACATGTGAACACTGAACTCCAAGCACACTGAATTTACTGAGCTATTGACTAAGCCTTTTAAATGACAGCCAACTGATGCATCTTGTGGGAGTCTCTCTCCTTCAGTACTCACACTGCCAGCCTGTGACACAATAAACTGTAATGCCATACTAACTTTATTGTTGGAAACCATATAAGGCTGCGCATGCACTTATGCAGACCACAACGCGGTTAAGGCTCATGCACACTTCTAATCCATTTTAAATGCTGAACAGTATCGGGCAACCCTTGGTTGTAGATCTGCCAATTTTTTATTGTTCAGGGTCATTAAGAACCTCTTAATTTAAGGTGCTTGGAGTCCTGCCTGGTGTGGCGCTATGGGTAAATGTGCCAGACTGCAAAGCTATTTGAACTGCAAGGTCGATGGTTGAAGCTCACCAGCTGCAACTCAGAATCCTTATACAGGGTAGCAAACAACTCGAGAGCACTTAAAACAATTTAAGGTACACTTTGTGTTACCAGTTAAGAGTACTGGTGGAGCCGCGGTAATGGAAAGACCCTAGTTTGAGGTCAGCTGTTCCATGGGAGAAAGATGTTGCAGTCTGCTTCTATAAATTTGCAATCTTGGAAACCTATTGGCAGTTCTTCAGGTTCTGCCCTATAGGATCACTATGAGTTGGGATCGACTCAAAGGCAATGGGTTTTCTGTTACCAGATAATTTTAAATAATAACAAAGTCTCTAGAGAAATTAAGATGCTAATCAGTATTTAAAGGCAGCAAATTTATTCTTTTAAAACAAATGACTGGACACCGCTTTTCTAGGTGGTCAATTCTGATCAAGGGGAGAATTTTGTCTTATGTTCAATCTGTACCTCTATCCTTACTTGCTCTTCATTCTATCATCAACACTGGCCAAGTACCAAGTCTAACAAGTGGCAAACATTAAGTAGAAACACGTACACCAAATTTTACTATGCGTATTAATAAATATTCTTTATTTTAAATTTTGCACATTGCGCTTTAACATTACATCCAAACATTTCGCAAGTGGATGTCTACTTTGTAAAACCATATATTCAGCTCATTGTCATTTCTGTACAGAAGTATAAGTACAACATTACTTTTTGCCACTAGGTTGCTTTAGTAAGTTTCACAGGAAGAGAAACATTTAATGAAGAGATGGCTTAAATCATATGGCAGGCCTGCACAGCCACACAACTAAAGACACAAGCCTGAAGAAAGAACAAACTAATGAGGGTACCTCCACCGTCTCCCAAAACAAGAAAGAATCACATTGATTTAAGATAAAATTTTGCAATAAGTCACTAAATTAAGAGTTTTTTTGAAAGAGAAGGCGCAGTAGTCATCTTGAGTGTTTCATTGAAAGACAGAGCTATTTTATTTATTTAATTTGCTCCAGCCGTTGTCAACCAGCCACTACAAATGGGCCTCTTGTGATCATTTAAGCGGCAGTATTTATTAAATTTCTCCTTCAGATGCTGTCGGTATTGTTCTCTATTGCTGTAGAAAGACTGGTTATTAGCCATAAAAGACTGTATTTCATCTTGTGAGATAAAGATATCCTCATCCGAAGTACATTCAGACTCATCCTGCAAATTAAAGCAATAATTAAAACTATGACTTAAATTAAGCCTAGCTTTTTATTTAAGTTCATTCACATAAAGCCTTTAATTGTGGTGTTTTCCAAATAAGGAGACGTCATGCTGCAAAAGATTTGATTCCATTATGATTCTAATAGCTATGAATGAGACACCACCCTTCTCCCATCTCGTCCCCAGCATCACACACTATGTATATAATGAGTCACTTGGAATCAATTATAACTAACTGATCTAAAGTCTCAGGAACTGACATCAACTACATAAGATCTCTCAATTCAGTTATGCTTTTATCCTATATGACATCTAAAGGAAGTAACCCAAAAGGCAGCCTCTAGCTCGGGTTCTGTATTCTTTCCTATTATAAAGAGTGGCTACCACAAACTGTCATTCAGAAAGTTAGGATCTGTTGTTAACAATAACCCTCCTCCTTTAAGAAGCAGATTTGTGGACACAGTACTATCTCCATTCTCTTCTCCAACTACTTTTCCCACTTTTAGACAAAGGGCAAGGAAATGTGCTCCAGAGTCGTTGCATAAACCATGAGTGGATGAGATGAGATGAAGGTATCAAAGAACAATCAAATATTGCCCCTACCTTCTTAAAAACTTCTTACCACCATCACATACTGCTCGTCCCACCTCTACCTACTGAGCAACAACTGTGCCCAATAAGAAAGACATTACGGATTACTTACAAGGAGTTCAACTAAGCTCTTGGCACCTTTTCCGGAATCAGGACCAACTGACGTTTCTGTAGGTTCTGCGAACTGTGGTACATTTTTCCTATGCTCGAACCAAGGCAGTGGCTGTCCACCCTTTTCAGAGTTGCAACAGCTTTCAGGATGTGCGTCTTTGGTCTTGTCACGGTGAAACACTGTGTGCACGGTAGTTCCTGAGGTCTCTCGGTTACCTGGATCTGTAATACAGCTTCCAAGCTTTTGGATCTGAAACCACAAAGTATTTTCCAGTTAAAAATATAAGGGACAATAGCAATCATTCTTTTAAGAAAAAAACAACCCTGTAAGCAAGTTAAACCTTTAGGAGGAATACTGAATAATAGCAGTAGCTTCTACTGGGCACTTACTCTCACCAGACGCTATACATACACTTCAATATAACTGACAGGGACTATTACTCTAATAGAGTCCTGGTGTGGCGCTGCAGGATAATGCAACAGACCACAAGGACGGTTTGAACCACAAGGATGAAGGTTCAAACTCACCAGCCGTTCTTTGGAAACCCTATACAGGGTTGCTATGAGTCGGAACCAACTTGACGGCACTTAACAACAAATTATTCTAATGTTACATATAAGA